CTCTCTCTCACACACACACACACACACACACACACACACACCTAGAACAGAGAGGAGCAAGCCAGACGAGAGGAAAATCCATGAAACCAGAAGGTAAACCATTAGCTATACTACCAAAACGAGAGCATTCAAATCACTAAATTGTCACTGAACGGGCAGGCATCACTATCAAGCTTACAGAAATAAGAAAGGATTTTAGGGAGCCACACGAACAACTATATGGCGATAAATGAAGATATTCTAAGCAGAACAACTTCTTAGAAATACAATTTCAACACATTTACACAGTGGAGATGTATCTGTCTGCCTGGCCTTAGAGAGTAAGTTTCCAGAGAGTACGTGAGGAAGGAGTTTGCTGTGTTCTCAGTACTGACTGATGGGAGATGACGATGGGCCCCTGTCCTCCATGTTAAACATGGCAGTCTAAGCCAATCAGAGTAGCTTTGTCTCTTTCTCCTCTCCCTCCCCCTTCCGGCTTCTGTGGGGGCCTACAGCTTGTTCTGCTATTTTACTCTCAAACTCACGAAATTGCCCTTGGGCTTAAAACAATAACGCTTAAAAATTCACTAAGTTCAATAAGGAACTTTGTTCACCCTTTCTTCTAAATAGCCGCCCAGCACTGTGGCTCGTTGCCTGAGAATAAGTGAATGGACGAGTTGCCTGTTTCCAGGTCAGCCACGCAGTTCACAGACTTGAGGGAAAGGAAGTTTCCCACACGGTAAGCATTGCACAAGGCCTCGCCAAGACAACCTATAATCACTAAATGACCTAAAGTGGTAAGCAGAGGAACCTGACAGATTATGGCCCCTGTTTATGAGCTTCTAGAAACCATTTACAAATCTGCACCTTTACAGGTTAGGTAGGATGCTACCTTGTTTCACAAGGATAAGACACTTCTTTACATCAGCATTTCATTAAATGCCCAACCTCATAATTCACAAAAAAATGTTCATGGATTCCCTTTGGGCCATCTGTTAGAGAATCCTATTTCACAAGGAGGAGATATTAGATAAATAAAAGTCTTAGAAACTAAAGTGATTGGCACGTGAAGTCAAAGCTTGGGTCTTCAGCACATGTCAGGACAGGCCTTTCAAGATCTTGCTTGTACGGGGACATCAAGGTATAGCTGGAGTCTAACAGCAAATAATATGCTCTTATTAGACACAGTGGTGATGTCTTGAGGCATCCGCTTGCGTTTCCCTGGTCCTGCACCATTCAATAAAAGCCCGTGTGGTTGCCAAGTCCTTGAAGTGAGACGAATCCCAACAGAGACGTGCTGTGTGTATAAAACACACTTAAAGCATTTACACCAAGTAATTGTAATTATCACCTCAAAAGTCTTACATTGCTTACATGTCGGTATATTTGGGATAATGCTAAGCTAAAGCGCACTGATAGGACGAATTTCGTCTATTTCCTTTTGTGTTTCCGTGTGGCTACTGAAAACTTAACTCACACTCATGGCTACTTTACCTCTGTCTTGGACACCAATGGTGTAGTCTTAACCTCAGACAGCTTAGACACTGCTATCAACATCACACTGTGCAGGGCCAAAGGGGTTCAGAGAAGCATGAAAAATGCATCATGGAGGGAGAGCGTGTGGAGAATGGAATCGAAGTTCACTACGGTTTGTTTGTCTTTTTTGTTTTGTTTTTTGTTTTTGTTTGTTTGTTTGTTTGTTTTGGTTTTTCGAGACAGGGTTTCTCTGCGGCTTTGGAGCCTGTCCTGCAACTAGCACTTGTAGACCAAGCTGGCCTTGAACTCACAGAGATCCTCCTGCCTCTTCTTCCAGGGCACTAGGATTAAAGGCATGCGCCACCACACCCAGATCTCCACCATTTCTTGCCACGGGCCGTGTTCATAAACCTGAAGAGCTGGTTAGCAACTTAAGGAAAAAAAAAAAAAAAAAGGTTACTGTGAAGATAGTTGCCCAGGCTTGGACCTACCTAATTATAGTTTGATTCGGTTTCCTCGAAAAGATGTTTGAGAATGTCGTAGTTTATGGCCCTCATGACCAACATTACCAAATTACCCCTTTCTGTGACTTAGTGCCACCTTTACGAGCTCTTTTATTAGTGTTTATTTTAAGCAGAGATGGGAACATCAAAGGGCTGTACTTCTCTTGCTCTACACTAAAGTCTAGTTCATCGGGGCCCACAGTGGACCTGAACTCTACGCTTGACGCGAGTCCTCCCAGTTCTCGGGAGCCAGCCTACAAGTGCATTAGGTATCCAAAGTAGAAAAGTCCTTTGAAAGGGCTGTGACAAGAGACCCTACAAGATGATTTAAGGCTGGAAGGGTTTCTTTTGGCTGCAGTTTGAGGGCACTGTCTGTTGTGGCCAGGATGTAGTAACGGTGGTTCCATGGGATAGCTCATCAAACTTCATCCACGGACGAGAAGCAGAGGGAGAGGAATTTTATTATTCGGCTTGCTTTCTCCTTTATCACTCACTCTGGGATCGCAGCCCATGGGATGGTACTACTCACATTAGGTTAAACCACCCCTTCAAGTAAACTTTCTGGAAACATGTCTTAGACAAAACGGAGGTGTGTTTCCATAGAGATTCTAAAACCAACCAACTTAACAAAAAGCAATGATCATGAGTACATATTAAAATTATTACAAAAATGGTATGATGTTTGCATGTCCTTCAAAGTAACATAATAGCTATGTGTCAACCTAAAGTTGACAGCCATGTGCTGGTCAGGACAGGCTCCAAAGCAATACAGAGGAAAAAGAAAGAGATAAGTGTTGATGATAAATCCTGTTAGCTCTTCTGGGGAAGGGGAATTGGAGGTCTCAGAAGTTTGAGTCAGTGGTATCATTTAACGGCAGGGGTGGGAGGTAAAGTAAAAAACCAAGAAGTTCTGCTGGGCCAAGAGTTCATCAGCAGTAGCTTGCCCTTGCCCCATTAGCCAGCTTGGCTCTTTTGAGCAAGTGTTGGATTAATCATGAGTCCTTTCCTGTGGGATGGTGCTTCACTCATAAGAAACTCGCCATACTACTAGTTGAGGTAGGCGTGGGAAAAGAACAAGCAGTAACCCTGGCCCTTGTGAGGGCCCTAAGCCCTATCTGGAAACGAGTATCAGTTGCATGAAAATAATGTGTGTACACATTGTGCTCCAGGAACACGGGGACTGGAAAGGCTTCTGCCAGCCAAGACAGGTTTTTACAGAAGACACAGCTGAAGAGTTAAAATTTTAAGACCCAGGTAGTGTTTGCCAGAACAAGAGGCAGAAGGAAGAGGTCATTTCAGGAAGAAGGAAATAATGTGTCAGACAGCATGAAACCACAGTGATGTGTTCTGGGGACTACAAGTATTTGTGTGGCTCAAACATAATAGGGGTTCCAGAGCCTGTTCCTCAGGCTGCAACATACAACGTTGTTCTAGGTCTAAAGCAAAGGCAAGACCTTAATATAAAAATCCTATTGGCCTTGAAAAACTACTTTACTGGGGCAGGGGAGGGGACTCAGCAGTCAAGACCACTGGCTGTTCTTCCAGAGGACTTAGGTTCAATTCCAAGTACCCACAAGCTGGCTTGCAACAGTCTGTAACTCCAGCTTCAGGGCTATCCAAGGGCATCAGTGCACAGATAAGCAGGCAAGACACTCACTCACGTAAAATAAATAAATGGTTTTTGTGACGGGTGGGAGAGGACAGTCAAGTTCAAAGTTGCCACTCCTAGCACTTAAAGAGGGATAATAAGACGAAAACCACGTGGGAAACACATATGGCAGATGAGGCACACCACACAATGAGTTTTGGAACCGTGGGCTCAGCTGCTGCATCGGGACAGAAGCAGGCCTCTGCTGCAAGCACAGTCTAATAAAAAACACGGGGCTCCTGTATGTAAGAGGTTCTCCAGAGAAACTGGTTTGACCAATTAATTCAGCAGAAATCTGTGAGGATACCCGAGGCCCTCAGAGCTGGAGGATAATGTGAGTGTCAGTAAGCCAGGTTTGGGAGATGAGCTGAAGGTTTGTCACAGCATATTCCTCTGTGTGTGTGTGTGTGTGTGTGTGCGTGTGCGTGTGTCTTCAGGGAAATGCCTGACGATGTATGGCTACGCTGTAAGCTCTTAAGGCGTCCAATTCTTAGGGTTAGATGTATTTTGATATTCAGTGGCTCACATATGAGATTATATTAAATCTGTTTTCAAGTCCGATAGCTCACATATGATGTGTGATGTCACCTCAGCAAAGAGGAAGGATCTCACATCTGCTGGGGTCTAGTAAGACTTCACATTCTTGAAAGAAACAGGAAACACCTTTCAAGTTCAGGGAGATGCTCTCTCCCTGGTACCACAAACCTCAGCTCTCTACCAACCCAACCCACCCCCGAGTTTTTACCAGAGCAACAAGTTGTCATACATGCATGTAACTATGTTAAGTGTTGTCAGGCTCATTTCATGGTGTAGAAAAAAATCTACCCACCCATTATGTTATTTTATCCCGGGACTATTTACCAGCAAGCATTTATTTTCAAACAAATCCCGTCACCCCCCCCCCTTTTTTTTCCTTATGAACGATGCAGCACTAACAAAAGGGGTAGAAGCGAACCCTAAAGAGAAGAGCCACAAAGCAGCAAGCAGCATCCGGACACGAGGGCGGCTTCGCTCTGTTCTGTTTTTTTTTTTTAAGTGGTTGACGCAGCCAGGCCTTTGCGCAGTCAATCAACTCCACCCTCTGAGAGATTTCACACGAACGCAGTCCCACGCTAGCCTGCCGGGAGCCGCGCATCACTCCCCCAGACTTCGGGGACTCCAGACGCGCGGGCTCGCTTGCACAACGCATTTGCATCTGCAGCTCCGCAGGCTCCGGCGGGCCCTAGCGCCTGCGCACACGCGCCCCGCGGCCGCGGGCGGAGCCCCACCCCTTGCGTCGCCACGCCCCCCACGGCCGTCCCTCCGGGCGCGCGTGCGCCGCGGGCCCGGCCCCGCCCCCGGCGCGCTCGGCGGTCTCTCTCCTTCTCTCCAGAGCTGCGGGTCGGCCTGGAGCGAGCAGGCTCGTTCGGGGCGCTCGCTGGGCGGCCATGGCGGCGCGGGAGCCGGGGCCGGGGCGGCTGCAGCGGCCCGCGCTGGCGCTGCTGGCGCTGGCCCTGTGCGCTCCCGGGGTGCGCGGCGGGGCGCTCGAGTGGTACTCGGCCGTGGTGGGCGTCGAGTACGTGGACCCGCAGTCGAACCTGACGGTGCGGAGCGTGTCCGAGAGCGGCCGCTTCGGCGACAGCTCGCCCAGGGAGGACAGGCAGGGCCCGGTGGGCATCCCGCGCGCGGCCGGGGAAGAGGAGGGCTGCGCGCCCGACACGCGCTTCGCGGCGCCCGGCGGCCTCGGCGCCGAGCCCTGGGTCGCGCTGGTGGCGCGAGGCGGCTGCACCTTCAAGGACAAGGTGCTGGCGGCGGCGCGCAAGAACGCCTCGGCCGTGGTGGTGTACAACCAGGAGCGCTACGGCAACGCCACCGAGCCCATGTCGCACGCGGGTGAGCAGGACCCCCCCCCTCCACCCCCATTCCCAACCCCGGGGACGGGGCTGGGGCGAGCCTGCCGGTGGTCCCCGGGTGGCCAAGGCCGGGAAGCGTCCTGGGGAAAGTCTGCAGGAGGAAGGTCCTACCTACCGATTGCAAAAGGTCTCCGAAATCCCTAACCGCGGGGTCGCCTAAGGTCACTCACTTCCCCGTTTGCCAGAGTCGGTGGAGTGGTGAGTGTGTGGGCGTGGAGGGAGATTTCTTCCCCAGCGCACTCCAGGAGGGTTTGCATTGTCTCTCGCGCAGCCTAAAGTGCTTTTGTGGCTCTCGTGGGTCTCTGGTTTCTTCCCTCGGACCAGGGAGTGCCTGAATAATTTCAAAACCCTGGATCGGAAGACCTGGGCTTGCTTGCTGTATGTAGCAAGCACGTCACAAGCTTTGTCCCTCAGGACACATGCGGGGCGGGAGGTCCCGCTCGCCCGTTGCATTGAGCTCAGATGAAGTCTTTTTTTAACTGTATTCATTGAAGACAAGACCTCGCTGTCCGTCACGAGGCCGGTTCTAAACACACTCCTTGCTCCGGGGAAAGCAGCAGGTTGGTTGAGCTTCAGACAAGGATGAGTTAGCAAAATACCATCCTTGGGACGGGGTTCTTCCCCGGGGACCCAGAATTTGATTGTGTTTCTGTTGTGCCTTTTTCCAAGATCACATTAGCTTTAAGGCGTCACACACACAGTTGACTCATTCTCAATTTCCTGTGATTACCGTTTTTTGTTTCTGCTGCCACTAAGTCAGACATCCTTTTCCTGTACTGTGTTTTTGTTGTTGTTGATGATGATGTTCTGTTTTGGTCGGGCGCACCGCAGAGTTTATAAAGTAAAAAAGGACATTGGGTTTGGCCATTTCTGTAGAAGGTTGGGAATGGTGGCCGTTTGATGGCAAGGATGAGATCTCCACTTGTAGATCAACTCTTTCTCTGGAAGGTTGACTCCCTGAGTAGCAGAGACATGGGTTCAGACTGTAGGAGCATAACTTTAGGGGTGGGGTAGGAGACGGTAAGGAGACTTTGAAATTGTATGAGAATCTGCTAGAATGGAGTAATGCCTGAAGAGTTAGTTGGGTTTTTGTGGACACAAGGTTTGGTTGGCTGCAGACAGTGGTGAGTGAGAATGAGTAGAGGTGTATGTTCCTGTGGTCATGTTGTGTCAGGCACTGTCTTTGGTGTGTAGTTAATCCAGATTACAAAATGACCTAATTGTCATTGTACACACTCCCTGTTTCCACAAGACTCGGGGAAGGATCCCAGCATTACAGACATAGCCCATCTACAGTGCTCCCGAGTTCAGTTCTGTCAATGAAAAGAGGTGGGTATGCTGGACCTGATTCCCTGATGCTGGGTGTGTGCGTCTCAAGATGCTAACACACTTAATGTAGACTTTTTTCTTTTAAATGACAGGCTCATCACCCTACAATTTTCTAACTCTACCTTACTGCATTTTTTGATAATGACATTAACATTCTCCCAAGCAGACAACACTTGTTCTAACCATGGCTCAGCAACCTTTCTTGTTTATATTGTTGACATATAATTGATCCAGACCCAGAAAAACACCTCAGTGATGTTAATTAGACTCTTTGGTGGAGGAACACTTAAGTTCCCATTATCTGCTGGGCAGTGGTGGCACACACCTTTGGGAGGCAGAGGCAGGCGGATCTCTGTGAGTTGGAGGCCAGCCTGGTCTACAGAGCGCGTTCCAGGACATCTGGGTCTACACAGAGAAACCCCCTCTCAAAAAAAAAAAAAAAGAAAAGAAAAGAAAGAAAGAAGATGGGAGAAGCCAGTTTTGACAGACTATTTAAACTTGAACTCAGTATTTCCACTTGGGTTGCTTTCCTCTGTTTAGTCAGAATGTAACTGAAGCCAGGAACATGCACCGACTCAACTGTTCTTGGTGCAGATTGTAGCGGTGGACTTCTGTGAAGCAGGGGGAGAGGTGTGCTTCTGAAACTGCACACTGATAGTCTTCTGGTGTGGGGAGAATTCTTCCCAGTTCTTCTGAAACCCATTTCTTCCTCTCACTGGAATCTAGCACTAGGTACTTTATAACTGTAAATCATTGCGGAAACTAAGGACTTTGAAAGAAGAGTTCAAACTTAACTGAATTATATGCATAGGTGCTTAGAAAGCCTAAAGGATGAGTGTTGATGCTGAACGTTGTAGAAATTATCGACTAAGATAGGTAAAAATTAGATAAAAGCCGTATCATTAAAAGTCTTAGTGTTGACCTTACTGTAGTTATTGTAGGTTAATAAGTAACAGACTCCTCTAGCTGAAATTTAGGCACGGCCTTTTAAGAATGACATTTTACATCCTTGATTGTCATTTACTGAGTGCCAAACAGTTGGCAAAGGGCTGGAGAAAGGGCTTGAATTGCAATAAAGCAAGGAGGATTTTAGAGATAGAGAAGAAATACCCAACTTAACCAGCCAATTAATCTGTTTACCTGAACATTTCTGCAGACACTTAGAAAGAGCTTTCAGTGGGTTATACTACATACATTACAAACCTTAAAGACACTTCAAGCCTTTTAAGACCCCTGAAAATGACCACCGTATTGTAATGATAGGTGAATAAGACTTTTAATTGCAGTTTCACTGTGCTTAGTTCTAAGAACCTAGTCTCGGGAAGCTAGGAAACAAGGAGGACCTAAGAGAGACATACATGGTCCCCCTTAGAAGGGGAAAGGGACAAGATCTCCTGAGCAAATTGGGAGCATGGGGGGAGGGGAGAGGAGGACATGAGGGAGCAGGAAGATTGAGTCAGGGTAGAGGAGAGCAAGAAAAGAGATACCATAATAGAGGGAACCATTATATGTTTAAAGAGAAATCTGCACTGGGGAAATGTTCAGAGATCAACAAGGATGACCCCAACTAACAATCTGAGCAACCCTTCCCCAATAATGAGATTGGTGACTACCTTATATGCCATTCTAGAGCCCTCATCCAGTAGCTGATGGAAGCAGAAGCAGACACCCACAGCTAAACACTAAGCCGAACTCCTGGAATCCAGTTGCAGAGAGGGAGGAGCGATGAGCAAAGGGGTCAAGACCAGGCCAGAGAAACCCACAGAGACAGCTGACCTGAACAAGGGGGAGCTCATGGACCCCAGACTGATAGCTGGGAAACCAGCATAGGACTGACCCAGGCCCCATGAATGTGGGTGTCAGCTAGGAGGACTGGGCAATCTATGGGGCCTCTGGTAGTGGACCAGTATTTATCCCTAGTATACAAATGGACTTTGGGAGCCCATTCCACATAGAGGGATACTCTCTCAGCCTAGATATACGTGGGGAGGGCCTAGGCCCTGCCCCGAATGATATGACAGACTTTGAAGGTCCCCCATGGAAGGCCTCGCCCTCCCTGGGGAGCAGAAATGGGATGGGATGGGATGGGAAGGTGAGGGAACTGGGATTGACATCTAAAACTAGCTTGTTTCAAATTTAATAAAAAATATTAAAAAAAAAAAAAAAAAAAGAACCTAGTCTTGGAAATAAAAAGTACCCAACTTTAGAGAAGCCATATATTAAGAGGTATTCATTTTGTACTGGCAGTGCATGTTAAATGGTCTTTTATGCATAGCCAATTATTGATTACCTGTAATAATGTGCTCTCAGCTGATCTACAACTTTAATTTGAATTTAAAATGTATCTTGCTGCTCTACGGAGCCAGAAGTGGCTCCCTAACCCTCATAGAGGATGGGATCTACTAGAACAGTTTTGCAAAAAGATTGACTTGATGGAGAGGTTCAGTACATTAGGGAGTTATGTATATGTGTAGGAGGTGGGCTGTAGGATTTCCATGTAATAATTGCAAGAGACTAGAAGGTCTGAAATTAACATGGAAAAGCTTCAAGAGTTCCCAGTGAGAGTAGGCTTTTTAACAAATCCATTTTGTGGGGAGGCGGTAGTGGTGGTGATGTTTCTATTGTTTCATGTTTGTACGTTTATTTGTGGTGGGGGTCTTGCTAAGTAGCTCATCCATTCCTTAACTCATGATCTTATTGTCTTAACCTCCCAGGTGCTGGTGTTATGGGCGCTGATGGTCATACTGGCCATTTTTTTTTTTTTTTTTTTTACTGATTTGTTTTTATGTGTGTGAGTGTTTTGTCTGCACGTATGGAAGTATAGTACCACATGCATGGCTGGTGCCCATGAAGGCCAGATAAGGGCATTGGGACTGGAGTTGTGGTTTTTAAGTCACCATGGGGGTCCTGGGAATTGCCAGATCCTCTCCTGAAGAGCAGCAAGTTCTCTTAACCATTGAGCCGTCTATCTCCATGTCTCCCTGCACCCCGATATTTTTGACTAAACCAAATCATGCAAAAATATTTACAATTGTATAGTCCCCAATTGTAAATTGTTTCCTCATTCACCCTAGCCAGCCATTTAAACATTTGTATAACAAGGTTTAGTGCAAACTCAGTTTAAGCTGTACAGCGAAAAAGACTTTCCAGATTATTCCCTCTGCTGTAATTCTCCTAACTAGGTCATTTCAGTTGTAGTCCTGGAAGATAAGCTGGTTTTTCAAATCCAGTCATTCATGAAGAAACCTTCCACGGTCACCCATGCTCCATGCCACAAAAACCTGATGAATTGAGCAGGCGGTACTTGTCTAATGAGGAGCTGTGTGAAGGAAGGGCTATCTGAAGCTGGAGAGGTGGTTCCGTGGTAAAGAGTGAGTATTGCTTTTTCAGAGGTCCCCGGTTCAGTTCCCAGCACCCATGTTAGACAGTTCACAGTACCTGACTCCTGGCCCCCTTGGGCACCGTGTGTGTGTGTGTGTGTGTGTGTGTGTGTGTGTGTGTACAGCACACAATGAAGTAACATTGATAACAGTGACTGCTGGTAGAGCAGGAGTTGCTGTATAGAGCTTAAGCTGGGCTTGTACTAAATCTTGGTTTGTTGGGGATTCTCGGGTGGTGGGGGGATAGAAATGGCTAGAATGTGGCAGTTTT